GAGGAGAAGGAGTCCAACTTGTCGGGTCGATGTGAGTGAGGAGGAGGAAAGGCGAGGGGGACGAACCCATTCGTGCCGCTGTTGAGGGAGAACTGCGGGGGTGGTGGGGAATGGAAGAGTCCGTCCCTGCAGCTAGAGGTGGAAACGGGAGTGGTGGGGGAAGGAGTGGAAGAGGCCACTTCTGCAGTGGCAGGGGGGGAGCATGGAAGAGTCCATCCTTACGGTTGGGGCGTGAGGAAATAGGGAAGGAAGGGGAATAGACCACTTTTAGATATGGGGGAGCTTGGAAGAGTCTATCTCTGCAGTTAGGAGGGGGGAAGCACAGCAGGGAAGGAGCTGTCCCCCTGGGGTGGGTGAGGGGCACAGAGCCTGGCTTAGGTGGGGGATGGGAAGGGCCTGCCATGCCCTGCCCCTGCAGCACCTGGGGGTGGGGATCACACCCTTGCCCCCCCACAGCCCTGTGTCTGCACTACCACACCACTTGTTACCCTGACAGGCACCCGCCTTCCAGGCCCTTCACCTGTCACTGTGCCAGGAGATGAGCTCTGAAGGGGGGGGTTGCAGAATCAGTCCCCTGTGTAATAAACCCTCTGGTGCCAAGCTGCAGTCCGCCTGTCCACGGGCAAGCAGCAGTTGGGGTCTGAGCGTGTTGCATGAGCTATCGCAGTTCACGTGAGCTGTCATAAAATGCCCTGAATGTGTTTGACAGTGTATAAAGCACAGTACTACATGGCTCTGAATGAGCACCCAAGCTAACGCTATAGGCCCTGGTGGTCATCTGTGACTGGAGCCAAGCAATGTCTCTGAGTCTTGCTGTGGACTTCGCTGGATGTGCAATCACATCCCAAGTGACAGAGTGAAACAGTGATTTTGGGTGCCTGAGAAGGGTGGTGACTGGACTAGGGCATTAATGTATGCCCAGCAAATTTTGGAAACTCCCCAAATTGTTTTACTGTACAAATAACAGATGAAGCTTAACAACATAAATCTCTCTCTATCCCCATTTAATAAAAAAAAAAAAAAAAATCAGAACTTTGGGGTAAACAAAGAAGATACAAGTGGGACAAAAATGCATAACAGTCAACCTTTTCAGGTAATGTCATCAAAAAAACAATGGATTTGAACTGTGCAGCAATAGGTAATTCAGCAATGGGTAATGGTGATGAATTCATGTATCAGGCTGGGGCGACTGAAACTGATAGTTCATATTAAGCAGGAGAGTTGGGATTAGACATTCAAAAGAGTACATTAACCTTTTATATTGTATCTGTTTTGCAGATTTTCATAGATGTTAAGAATTGTAACCGCCATTGGAAAAAACTAAGGCTAAAAGTAACACAATGGCAGCAAATCCTCCAGCACAAGGTAAATTTTAAATAGAGCAGATTTTTTATCTTTTCCTCACCAAACTACAAATGTTGTGACTTCATTATGCACATGACTGAAATCTTGCCCCCTTCAAAGTCCCTGAGGCCCGTGTTTCCCCCTATAACTACAGATTAAGGAGAAACAATATTTTTCACATTGCAGGGGGGAGGGAGCACTTTTGGAAACAGGAATTCTCTTTCCAGGATTATAGTTTTAAAAATAGAAGTTAGACTTCAGCATTAGATTACTGATTCTTGTTTGGATTTTTAAAATAGTGATAACAGTTACATTGGGACCACCAAATTAGTACACATTTCCTTAAATTCAGATCCTAAAAGGAGGTGTATATTGTAACCATGGTAATATATTAACTCTTTGAAATGTTTCACTAATTTTACTGCTCCAAAGAACTGAAGTTGGCTTCTGGCTTTCAAGCCAAGGATATATTAAAAGTCCAAGATGCTCAGTACTGTGAGTGAGAGCAAAAGTACCAAAGGTGTCTTAGCTGTCAAGAACAGATTGCAAACGACTGAGCCTACAATAGAAAGGTAGCACAAAAATTAATGCTAACAACAGACCTGATGATCTTGCGAGGTCCCTTCCAGTCCTGACAATCTATGAACTTGCTTTTGTTGTTTACATTATGATAGTCTTAGAGCGTGGGAACAGGAACACGTTGGTGGGAAGTAAGCTAGAGTGTGAACTTCAAACCAAAGTGACTGATGTGCTGTTAATGCAGGTTAGCTTCTCATGTGAAAGTGGGATAGAATGTCTATCATATATCAGTGATCTCAGAAGAATAACATGCCCATGGGCAATTAGTGTAGAGTAGCTGACTTGCTTTAAGATTGTGTCCTAGCTTACCTGGCTGTAACTTGTTCCCAAGTCTGTGCCCTTAGTTGGGTATATGCAAGCACACTGAGGTGAGAACTTGATATGCAAAGCACTCTTCACTTGCCTATGTCCCCACTACTGTAAATCTTACTGTGTGAGTAACTTTATGCTTAATCTCACAGATCTACTTTCCTGCAATAAATGCTTGCAATACTGGATCTTTAAATACAGAAATTGCTTTGCCTGCCAATGTTATGCAGCTATTTCTGGTATGGAATTTAAGCACAAACAGTCTTGAATACGAAAGAGAAGACTGTTACCTCCAACAGATGGAATTTTTTTGGTGGGGAGAATTAAATAGGAAAACCCTGTATGGACGTTTGCGGTAGAATTGAGAGGAAGGCCCATCGGCTTCAGACTGGGTTTTGCTTGGGCAGACCCTTTGAAGAATGTGCACCTTAACCAGAATCCCTTTTTAATGTTTTTTTAACCTTGTCTTTTTCTATGAAGACTGGTTGAAGTTCATTATAGACATTAACCCACTCCAGTACTGAATTCAAGGCTGCTGTTTCTAAATGTTTGAATGATAATTAATAGGTTTTCTCTTTTGTGCCTCCTTTTCCCCCAAAATTCTGGTAGTTGATAACTTAACAAATCACTACAGTTTTCCTGGAGTACTCTCCAGAGAATTACTCAAGGGACTGAATTACAATTTTGAAATAATTTAAAAACCAGTCTAAAAATCCTCGTAACTTTTAAGCAACTGAGATATAATTGGGAAATGTGGGGGACAAAAGTGAAGAAGTGGGGAATCATGCATTTCAGCAGTGACCCTTAGTCTGCCTGGTCTACTAACCTAGCTGCAAGCCAGTAACAGGTGACAGATCTGCCAAATGCTGCTTGATTACCAGGCCTACCAAACGGGAAAAATATTGGTGCTGTTCAAGCAATCTATTCTTTGATTCCCTCCTGTCCTAGTGTAAGACTTTTTCAAAATGAAATACAAGGCTTGTGCACAAGTAATAATAATATATATGATTGTGGATTCCCACTTATATACGTATACTGGATAAGTGCATAAATGGCTTAATTGCATAACACTAAGTGAATTCCAACTTGTTGCCCGTTACTTACATTGTAGCAATCATTGACTATTGCATGTGGGTTAAGTGCATAAACTGCTTAGGTGTATACCATCTTTCAGTCCTTCCCCGTACTCCATTTGCTTTGTAATTTAATTGTACTCCAGTTAACTGCATACTATTACTAACCAACTCTACCTTGTGACTAAGTGCACTCTGTGTAACTGTTCCAGAAACACTGAAGGGAAGCAGCTGTCAAAGGGCTGCTATTTGAAGCCTTGAAAATGACAGGAGCTAATCAGTTTTAAGGCTGCTCTCCCCTCATTTTCACGATTTCTAAAAGCAGCCTCTAAATTGACTCTGGGGCTGTGTCTATACAAGGACAGCAGTGTGGTATGTGGCACTGCAGACACGTCCATATACATCTGGACACACACAGCTGGACGCTCCCCTCCTCCATGGTCCCCTCCCCCCTCCTCCAACCCCCCTCTCCCTACTTACCAGCACAGAGTATGTGTCCAGCTCCCTGCGACGACGCATGGGGACTGCCTGAATCTCTGAATCTCACTGAAGTTTTTTGAATCTTTTCTGAATCTACTCGGAGAGCTTCGAATGGATTTGGACCCTTTTATTGGTCTCCCGATTCGATTCAGATTCAGGTCAAATTTCCTTCAAATCAAATCAAATCAGCACCCGAAGCTCTGCACAGCCCTAGTGTTCAGCTCCTAACAGTTTGGGACTCAAATAGCAAAGTTTAAGACTTAGCTAAAGAGGCTTATTTTAGTTTAGTTTCATTGAAACATATTATAAAACACTCCTTTTATTATTGTTCCAAAGATGAGATGTGTAGGAGTACTGTGAATGAAAGCCCTACTTCAGGGTTTTTATACAATGTAGCACTCATTGAAATTTTATAGTGTTTTTCAAAAAAGAAAAAGATTTTTGATAGAAAGAACATTGTCCTCAGGAAAAATTTGCAAGCTATTGAGGGGCACTAACCTCCCCCCCCCCACCGCCAAACTCTTAAACCAAAGAAGCAAGTAAACTGAGTGGTTGGCGGTATATGCTAAAACATTCCTAACCATTTGTCACATGTTAATAGGACTGCTGCTTGTAATATGTGTTTTCACACAACGAAGAGCAAAGCAGGCATGTATCATGTATGACAATATCATCGGTTTTATTCCAAGTGTGAACTTCCTAGGATAAGTATTAGGATGGTGGTGACAACATAATAGCTGTGTTCAGAAAATCATTCTTTCTCTAATCCCCACTTGAGAAAAAATGGGAGAGAGATCTTTCATGTATGTTTCTTTGGCAAGGCTAAATGTTGCCTGCCAGCCTGCAAAACAGTTCTGAAACCTAAAATAATTCAGCTTTTATAGTGTTAGAGTGATATTGTAATTGTGATAGTCTAGGAGAGAATGACTGGTATTTGAAAGCTTGTCTTACTTTATTCCATCCATGCATTTGGTCCAATAAAAGATATCCTTGCCATCAGCTTTGTGGCAGTGACATTGACCCAAATGTGTAACTTCCAGTGTTCTGTTATTCAGTTTCCATTAGGTGCTTTGTAAATCTCTACTAGCCGGTGTCTGTCATCTTAGCTTAAAAATGAGGACATTAGAAAAATGCAGCCTGAACAGGTGAATTTTATGTTTGCTGAAATAAGTGTATTGAAAAAATACTGCTGGTTTGCAGTTGGTGATGTAATCAAGAAGGGGAATTATCTAGAAATTGTACAGCTCCTTGAGATAAATCGGAGTTCAAATGCAAAACCTAGCACTTGAGAGCAATAGTGAATCTCTGATGTTCCCCAGCGGACTTTATATCCATAAAGCAATGAACAGATTATATTCATCTATATGTGGTCATAGTCAGGAGGGACAGATAAAATATTTATACATCCTTTAATAATTCACTTGTAATTTATTGAGTTACCAGCATTCATTTTGCTTAACTGTTGCAAGACATGTGACAACATAGAATGTAAATGCTTATAAAAATATTGACATCTAATAAGCTGCTGTCTCATGTTCATGATCCCAGTTGTCACAAGTAAGATAGGGAAAAATAGGCAATTACTCTCTTGTTTTGGTTTTGTGCTTATAAGTGCTTTGGATTCTGTTGCCTTCAAATATAATGATCATAATTATGATAATGTGCATTTCAATGAAGGATTGCTTTGAAAAGCTTTCTGAATTGAGCTGACTGAACAAAGAATGCAACGGCAGCATGTGCTAATGGTTTGAGACTTGGGCGTGTAGTATATACCTATCCCAGGGTCAAGGTACATTTCCCCTCTGAGAAATGGCTATAGTAGTGGGATCCTGAGGTTCCATTTCCCTTGCACTGCAGTGTATTCTTTTGTTTTTCCAGGCCATATGTGCTCTGATTACAAATAAATGTTTTTCTAACTGCCAGCTCTGCTATTTCAGCCTGAGCTCTTAAAGTCAGGGTGAATTCATTATTTCCTACTTGCACATCAGCACCTCGTATAAAAAGTTCTATGCACCGAATTAGGCCACCAGTTAAATTTATGCAGTCTGTCAGAGGGGGCTTAGGCTCTACAAGGATTAGCCATGTAAACTGTTGCTTCTGCCATCCTACCTCTTCCTGTAAAGTTCCCCTGAGATAAAGGGGTCATGGCCATTATGGGAGAAGAGGTCTCGGGGAAAGCAGACTAGAGCTTGTAATGCAACCCCTGCTATTCTCTCTGCTTTAGGCCCTAGAGCCAGAGGGGTCTGTAGAAATTATGAACTTATTGCCTTAGTAAAAAGCTGACACCTCTCTGACATATCAACAGAGCTAGTGGGAAATGAAGCCTCTCCTGCTTTTCATGTAAGTATTCTTGGTTTTTGAAAGAGAACATAGAAATAGAAGTAGTATTAACAAAAAACAAGCACCCTTCCTACATAACTGCACAACAACAAGTTGTGCTGACGTAGTCTCCTGGAAGTTATAGGCAATCAAATCCAGCTTCTGTATTTATTAGTGTAAACTGTTACCTAGTTTTGAGACAGATATCTCTGTGTGTTATCCAGACTTTCAAGTAAGTTCTTTCTCATTTCCTTCTTTTTT